TCTTCCCTCTTTTCCTCTTCATTTCAGTCTCCCCTCCCCCCCCAAACAAAAAAACTTATCTCTCTCACGGATATCTTACAAAATAGGGGGACCCTAAACCCCCTCTCTCTCTCTCTCTCTCTCTCTCTCTCTCTCTCTCTCGTCACCATCTCCACAGTCACTCTCATTCAATCCAACCTTAAAACCCAACAACAACAGCAAAAACAAAGGAATAAAGAAAATTGACTGAGAGATAAAGGCCTAGGCCGAGAGAGATGGGGAACTACATGAAGAAATCTAAAATCTCAGGTGATGGAGATCTCCGTTTCACCAGTCTTCTCTTGGCTGGGTTGAGTCTGTTGAGTGGAAAGAAGAAGAGAATAAAAAAAAAGGGAGAGATAGAGAATGATGGAAAGAGGAAGAAGAAAAGGAAAAAAGAGAGAGATGGAGAGGGGGAAAAGAAGAAGAAAGAAAGTGAGAGTCACGGAGAGAGAATGGGTTGAAGGAAAAATAATATTAAAAAAGAGAATGGAAGAGATGGAGAGATGAAAAATGACAAGAAAAAAAGAAGCGTCTGTTTGGTGTTAGGAATTGAGATATTTGTTTAAAAAACATTTTGCAAAATTACAAAATTACCCTCCTTAACGGGTTTGATGCGAATATTCGCGAATTGACCCAACACGACCTGTTAGCTTTACGGGTGACTAACGGGTTCACTTGTTTTCAACACGACCCATTAAGCTCAACCCAAATACTGATAATTTTGTGCGAATTCGTGTCGTGTTAACGGGTCGTGTGTAAGTCTATTAAATACACCCCAAAGAGTTTTTCTATTTAAACCTCACATTTTTCTTTGTTCACTTCAATACTTAAATCATTAAACAATATTTGTAGTATACATGAGATTTTGTTATTTTCACAAGACTGTTTTTATCATGTGATTGGATCATATGAGAAATTGTAGTTTGTTTGGTTTCATTTTATGATGACAGTGAAAACCAATGACCAAAACATCTTATTTTATTTTTTACCCAAGGGAAAAAGGTCAATTATCAAACATTGTTAAACCAACCCTTATTAAAGCATATATCTAACATGAATAGTGGGGGAAAAGATGAAGAAGGGCCTTATTTTTTGAGAAGAAGATGAAGGTCATTGTGCTTGCCGCAAGACAGACAGACAGACAGATTCGCTAACTATTACAGTATATCGTTTACTGTCAATGGAAAAAGATCCTAGACCAAATAAAGATTTCTAAATTAGAAATTAAATGAGGAGATATTTATTGCATTGTAGACAAGAAGGTGCAACTTACCTCGGCAAGAACAAATTTCACTTACACGAAAGTACTGTAATCATCTACTAATTACTTTTGAGCATATAAGAAGTCAAGTAAATATAAAATTTTAAATAAAAAGTCAAAACAACCAAGCAATCAACAAATGAAAGAGAATAAGAACATTACAGTCAAGCAATCAACAAGTCCTTCCATCAGCTCCCACGCAGATTTTAAAGAGGTAGGCTCCTCAATTTAAAAGAGAAGACAAATCTGGCAATAGGATGTAGAGGAGTTTGTATTTTTCTAAAACTTAATATGAAGAGTGGTGGGGTGTGTACTAGAGTTAAGTAATAAGTTGGATGATCTTTTTGGTCTTTTTATACAATAATAAAACTTACAGCTGAATGATTTAAGTATTGATATGAACAAAGAGAAATATGAGGTTTAAATAGAAAATCTCGATAGGTTGGGTCCTTGAATGGTTTAAAGGTTTGGAGGCATAAGAGGATTGATATTGAAGCTGAAGTTGACAACAACCTCTGATAATTTAGGGCAATTTGGGAAGACACGTTAGTCATAACTCTTATGCATAGAGGGAATGATTGACAACGAAATAATCCTGGCGTATAACTACGTTCTGGATCTGAAGAAATTTTGTATTCTTTTTAGTAATGATGGGCTAATTTGATTCTAGGAATAAAAAGATCTAATTATGTTTTTTGTGCTATGGTAGTGGCGTTGATCTAATTCCAATGTCGCAACTAATGGACACGTGTATATACCTGTTTTGTCATTCTCTCAAACCAAAACCTGTTCTGACCCTAAAAACCCCCACAACTTTACCTGTAAAGCCATACAAGACTCATCCTTTTCCTGATGCCACTATCCCCACATTGTAGAACTTGAAATTGTCAAATTGAAAAGTTACATGCATGGAAGAGCAGTGAAATTCCTCACCCTTTACTCTCATATATTTGTCCTTTTAAAGACAGCTTCGTTATCTGTCACTGCATAATGAAATTGTTTTATCTTTTTAGCTTCATTACCATAATGAACTACACTAGAAGGGTATACAGCACCAAATAGTCAATGTTATTATGGTTGTCTTTTTCATGAACTTTTAGCTTTTCAGCTTGCTGACAGACACCCACCTGCACAGGCATGTCAGTCTCTTTTTATTATGGGAGTTTATTTCCACTTAAGTATTTAACATCTAAGAAATAACAAATATACCAAGTACGTTTTGGTCAACGTATAGAGTCTTCCTTTTGATAGCTTTCTCAAAGACATTCTAAGATGTTATTCTGGTTGGATGAAAATCGCATTTTTTTTATCTGGAAAAAAAAAAAAAGATTATGTTGCATTTGAATTGCTTGGCATGCTTGATTTGTGACAAGAAACTCTGAAGAATGTTATGTGCACCTTGTGTCATAATTTGGAACATAGTAGTTATGAGTTATGGCAGTCTGGGTTTTATCTACCTGATGTTTAGCCAGGAAGTTTCAGAAAATATGCAATATTCACATGAGAAGATTATCATAAGGACAATCTTTTCTCTCTTTATCCCTCTTTTGGATGTTTAGTTTTGTCACTAATCTATTGGATGCCAATTATACTTTCTACTATGCCAAAAATTCCAGTGGTTTGTTACTTGCTAATTGCTTTGCGAAATTTATTGAAGTCTTCAGTAAATCTACCTTTTTCCTATTCATGAAGACAAGTTTGCTTATCCAATTGGTTTTCATGTATGTTCTTCAGAGGGAAAGTGCATCAACTAAATCAGCAGAGATGATCGGGTTTGCTAGTTCAGCAATCTCAGTCCTCAATAATGCAGAGTTGTCAATTAGTGAGGCAGGGAACTCTTCCCTGATTCACATGAATGTTGATCAAAGCTTCTTACGTGTACCATCACCTCTCAAGGCTGCTATTTTTGAAAGTTTTGCTCGACAGAATATAGCCGAGTCAGAAATAGATGTCACCACTAGCATCAAGCAATTCATCAAGAGTACTTATGGTTACCCAGTTGATAGCAGAAGCGAATTTATATATGCTGCTGACAGCTCGCTAGCTCTGTTTAACAAGCTGGTTGTTTGCCGCATTCAAGAAGGGGGTACATTGTGTTTTCCTGCTGGCTCGAATGGGAACTACGTTTCTGCTGCCAATTTTTTTAAAGCAAATATTGTAACTATACCTACTAAGATGCAGATGGCTTTAAACCGACAGATAAGGTGCTTTCTGGAGCACTAGAGAATGTGAATAAGCCATGGGTATACATTTCTGGACCAACAATTAACCCAACTGGTTTGATATACAGCAACAAAGAGATTGAAAGTTTGCTGTCTATTTGTGCCAAAGTTGGAGCTAGAGTTGTGATTGATATACTTCATTCTCGGGCTTGGAATTTGACTTCGAGGGGCGGTTGGAATCTGGTGGATAGTTTGTCAAAGCTAAATTCTAGCAACCCATCCTTCTGTGTCTCTCTGCTTGGGGGATTGTCTTTGAAGATGTTGAGTGGGGCGCTCAAATTCGGGATCCTTGTTTTGAACCAGTCTGTTTTAGTGGAGACATTTTATAGCTTTCATAACACGGTTAAATATGCTATTAAGAAGCTGCTGAGTCTGAGAGAGCAGAAACCAGGAGATCTGTGGGATGCTATTAGAGAACGAATACAAAAATTGAAGAGTAGATCCACGCGCCCGAAAGAGGTGAAATTCTCTCTCTCTCTCTCTCTCTCTCTCTCTCTCACACACACATTCATTTCTCACTCAGCAATGATTCGATTACTCATCTCTATGTCCTTGAGTGGCTCCGTAGGTGCTTAATTTATAGTAATGTTTTACACTGCACTTTCTCATTTTAACTTTCATAATCATCCTACTTGTGTTCTGATAGACGCTGGAGAAGTGTGGTTGGGATGTGCTTGAACCCTGTGGTGGTGTTTCCATGGTGGCCAAGCCCTCATCTTATATGAACAAGTGTTAAATTCAAGAAATCGCCTAATGATGGAGGCAGCACTCAAAAGGAAACGATGTCTGAAGTTAAGCTTGATGACTCAAACATCAGGGAAGTCATTCACAAGG